TTAAAATCCATTTAAAATCCGTTGCTGCTGGCTCTGAACTGTGCAATAAAATTCTCTCTTGTGTTTTGGGTTTGTTTTTCCCTCTTCCCAGTCCTCCTACTCCCAGTTACTGGCAGCCACCTGCCTTACCAAACTGGTGTCACGCACAAACAACCCCCTGCCGCTGGAGCAGCGAATAGATATCCGTAAGTATGGAATTTTTCTCCCCAAGTTCCTGGGAATATTCACCATCTGGCCTTTGAACCGTGGCTGGGAGGTTTCCTGCAACCTCCAGTTTGGGCATCCTGAGGTTTGGGATGCTCAGAAAGGCGAGGGAACGTGGGAAGTAACAGAGTTCAGGGCTAAATATCCGGAATTTTTCCGGATGAAAAATGGGCTTTAAGCCCCCTTCCAACCCAGTCCAGTCTGTGATTCCATGGAAAAGGTGAAAATGGGGAGGCCAGGTGGTACTTTGTCAGGTGTGAGAGGTTGTCACACACTTTGTCAGGTGTGAGGGTTGATGGTTGGACTGGATGATCTCAGAGGGCTTTTCCAGCCCTAAGTTTTAGATTTTTCCATGATTTTTGGTACAAGCAACTGATGGTACCAACAACTCAGGCTCGAGGAGTGGGAATCCCTCATTTCCAACCTCTTCCCAGGTCTTAAACTCACAAACAAAGGGTCAACCTTTACCTCCAACCTGCTCTTCCCTTAAAACCCCTTCCCACCTCATTTCCATGTGCCATGTTTGGGTTGTGAAGGGGTGGTGGAATCTCCATCCCTGGAAGTGTTCAAGAAACACCTGGAAAACATTTTCTGATTGATGGTTGGACTGGATGATCCCAGAGGGCTTTTCCAACCCTAATTTTTAGATTTTTCCATGATTTTTTGTACAAGCAACTGATGGCACCAACAACTTCAGGCTCAAGGGGTGGGAATCCCTCATTTCCAACCCCTTCCCAGGTCTTAAACCCACAAACAAAGGGTCGATCTTTCCCTCCAACCCGCTCCTCCCTTCAAACCCCNAAACCCCCTTCCAGTTGACTTCCACACGCCCAGACGCCGTGTCCCGCCGTGTTTTCCAGGGAATTATGTGCTCAACTACCTGGCCACGAGGCCGAAGCTGGCGACGTTCGTGACGCAGGCGCTGATCCAGCTCTACGCCCGCATCACCAAGCTGGGCTGGTTCGACTGCCAGAAGGACGAGTACGTCTTCAGGAACGTCATCACCGACGTCACCCGCTTCCTCCAGGTCGGACCTTGGGCCTCGCCGGCCCCGGGGATCGGCCCAAATTCCCACGGAATTCCGCGATTCACGGAATTCCGCAATTCCGGGGCCGGGATTTGGCGGTTTGGGATTTGGGGGCTTCCCAGGCCGAGGGGCTGCCAGGACACATCAGTGCTTAGGATTTGAAATTTGGGGGAGCTGGGGTTTATTTCTAGTTCTTATAATTTAAAATGCGGGGATTTGAAATTGAAATTACATTCGAATTTAAATTCGAAATTAAATTTGAAATTTGAAATTAAATTCCAATTNCGGAATTCCGCAATTCCGGGGCCGGGATTTGGCGGTTTGGGATTTGGGGGCTTCCCGGGCCGAGGAGCTGCCAGGACACATCAGTGCTTAGGATTTGAAATTTGGGGGAGCAGGGGTTTATTTCGAGTTCTTATAATTTAAAATGCGGGGATTTGAAATTGAAATTACATTCGAATTTAAATTCGAAATTAAATTTGAAATTTGAAATTAAATTCCAATTAAATTTGAAATTAAATTCCAATTAAATTTGAAATTAAATTCCAATTAAATTTGAAATTAAATTCCAATTAAATTTGAAATTAAATTCAATTTAAATTTGAAATTAAATTCAATTTAAATTTGAAATTAAATTCGATTTAAATTTGAAATTAAATTCGATTTAAATTTGAAATTAAATTTGAAATTAAATTTGAAATTAAATTTGAAATTAAATTTGAAATTAAATTTGAAATTAAATTTGAAATTAAATTTGAAATTAGGTTTGACTTAAATTTGAAATTAAATTTAACTTGAATTGGAAATTAAATTAGAATTAAATTGGAAATTAAATTCAAGTTAAATTTGAAATTAAATTCAAATAAAATTGGAAATTAAATTTGAAATTAAATTTGAAATTAAATTTGAAATTAAACTTAAAATTAAATTCGAATTAATTTTTAAATTAAAAATTAAATTTGAAATTTGGGTGGTTTTTTTTCCCGATAAAACTGAAGATAAATCATTTTTAGCCAAGCAGTTTTCCAAGCATTAAGCCAAGCTCAACCAAACCCTGAGCTGAGCCTGTTGCTGTGCTTTGCCCCCCAGGACAGTGTCGAGCACTGCATCATAGGAGTGACAATCCTGTCCCAACTAACGAATGAGATTAATCAAGTAAGTGCTACAGCCTTCCTCAGTGAAGTAAGTGTCCAATTTTCTCATTCATATTGTCCTGTCCTGCCTTTTTTGGGGGTTGATTTGGGTTTTTTTTACCCTGGGGGGGTTGTTTTTGGGGGTTCCCTCCTGTCTCTGTGTTGTTTTCAGTCGCTGCCCCCTTGGGGGAAGATGCTCCGAGCTCTCCTGTCCCAAGGAATCCTTTTGTTCCACTGGCATCTTCCATCTGCTCCCATGTTTTCACTCCGGGGTTTTTTTGGGATGGAGGGGAACAGAGCAGGGCTGAGGGATAAAACCAGACCTACCCAGTGAGGACTGAGCCCTTGTGTTGTCAGTCCCTCCTTGTTGAGCAGAGGAGTCACCAAACTCTGCCAGTTTTCAGACCATCAAACTGTGCCAGTTTTTAAACCATCAAACTCTGCCAGTTTTTAAACCATCAAACTGTGCCAGTTTTTAAACCATCAAACTGTGCCAGTTTTCAGACCATCAAACTGTGCCAGTTTTCCAACCATCCCTTTCCATCCAGGACTGAATTTCCCGGAGTTCCCAGCAGGGAATTCTCAGCTCCTGCTGGTTTCCTGGGGCCCAGTCCCTTCCAGGTGCTTCCCAGGTTGGCTCCTTGGTTTTGGGAGCCCTCCAAGGTTGTGCTGCCTCTTGGAATTGGGTGCTGGAAGCGGGAATGACTGGCTTTACCTGCTGCTATCCCGGATTCCAGCCTTTTTCCAGCAGCAAAGTCAGCTCCCCCGAAGGTCTCGAGGCAGCAGGAGGGTCACAATGTCCATGAAATCTCTGATTTTCCCAAGAAAACCAGGAGTAACCAAGGGTTTGGATTTAATGCCTTACTGAGTAACTAACCTTTAATTTTCCTGGGATATGAATCCAGGTGTTGGAGGAATCCCTGAGTGGGATTTGGAGGGTGATTAAATTGTTCCCAGAACTGGGAATGGAGGAGAAGGTTTTGTCCTTCCCCAGTTCCTGCCTCTGGACTCTGGAGTTCAGCCCCTCTGAACTTCCCCAGCCTTAAATTTAAATGCTTTAAATCCAGTCTGAATGTTTTCTGCATCCATTTCAGAGCCCCAAAATCCCTTTAATTCCTCAAGGAACAAATCCTAACCCTCAGATCTCCTCCTAAATCTCGATCCACCCTTTTTACTCCTGCCATTTCCTTTGCAAAACCCAGATTTCATCTCCCCAGAGGGGCTGGTCCCCTTTCCTTTCAGCAAGACTGGAAACAAGTCTGGTTTTTAAATATATATCCCTATAAATTAGGATGTGTCCGTCAGCAAGGATGAAAAGAAGTTTGGGGTTTAAATATATATGTTATAATATTGTATAGTAGTGTATTATGATATATAAATATATATAAAATATAAAAATATAATTTCAAAATAGA